GCCTTTCCTCCATGGAGAACTAGTTGTTAAACATTTATCAGCACACCATGGGATATATTAGCATGTCTGGTGGCTTTTCACTTTATCTCAAAGACTTGAGTGAAAACTGTCAACAGGAAGGTCTCTTCTTTTCAAGACCATTCCTAACCTCTTCCAGCCTTGTCTCTACATTGTTCTTTTCCTTCTATTACTATGTTTTTATTACCTACTTCTTTACCATCATGGGCCCTCAATGCTGGCTTTTTCTCCATCTTCCATTCTGTTCCTAGAGTTGAGTCTCATTTTGACCCCTGCCAATATACCCAATTCTGCTCTCCCTTTCCAGCCATGTACATTAAAGCTTTAGAAATTGCCACAGCTGCAGAAAGAATAATATACAAAACAAGATGACATAGTTAATGGATCATATTTCCAGAGTTCCAGTCACTTTTTACCATTTGACATTTTATCAAAGTGGTTACTATTTGGTGAAATCTTAGGTGAAGTATTCATCAGAAAAGTGTAAATGTTCATTAACTATACTTTTAAGGTTAGTTCCATTCTCGTGTGTAGTATTTTCAACAGAACACCATTTTTTAAGATGAAAATTTTGTGATGGTGAAATAGAATCTGTTTGCCTTTCACAAATTCATAAAACTGACTCTTTTAAAGCCTCCTTGATGGTTAGGAGTGATTTTGGCTTCAAGAAACAAAAAACTGAGCGGAAAAGATGGTGGATGTCTAGTGCTGAGTCAGCAGCTTAATGATTCTCTCAGCCTTTCACTTATGGTCAAGTGAAGACCACTACAGATCTAGTCATGACACCTGTGCTCACATGCTCACGGCACAGCGGAGGAGACAGGATGGTAGCAGAGCTGTGTTTACATGTGTCGTGGCTTCACCTGAATATAGGGAGTCTGAGAAACTGTATAGTTTAGCTAGTAGTGATATTACACTTATGATAAAGTAAAACAAGAGGGCAGGGATTGGAGTTAGGTATTAGGTGAGCCTACTGTAGATCTACCTCTGTATAGTATGCAGTAGCATTTCCCTGTATACCTAAACCTAATTCATTGTGATGAATTTAAAAGGTGAAAATGTAACTAATGTATGTGATATAGTTCCCTGAGAAGTACATTAAGCTTTCTTTGTTCAGTCTTTGTGAGGAAGTGATGGAAAACTTTTTTTTTTTTTTTGCCAAAAGATATTTGAACTTAGAAACTAGGCTAGTTACTTTCACATAAACTCTTGAGGTGTAGGTAGTGTTATCCCTAACGTTACAAATTAGGAATCTAAGAGATGTTAAGCAGTTCGCTCTACATCACAGAACCTAGTGAATGGGTGAGTCAAGTCTAGAATCTGAACTTTTCTCATAGGCAAGTTGCAGATGTTTATATATTGAAATGAATTAGAATGTTATAGAAAGAATGATATTTGAGAGTCAGGAAACTGAAGCAGATATACACAAAAGGTGGCATTATGTGTAATATCCATTTGATGGAGGAGCTAGAGCCTTCTAGCGGTTCTGGTAGCCAAATACTGGGATAATAATAGCATTTTACTTATACATTAACCCATTTATGCCTAGTGTTTCATTATTGGAACGCTAAGCCTGTGGGAGTTATTTCTATCCTACTGCTCAAGGTCATTGCCAAGGTCTGATTTTTCACAAAAAAATTTTGCAACCTCCACCATAAATGGGTTAAAGCTTTAGAAATTGCCACAGCGGCAGGAAGAATAATACATGAAACAGGCTGCTGTGGTTAATAGATCATGTTGTTACTAGACCATCAGTTAACAAACCAATGCATTTTACTCTATGCATTTTATTTATACTAATCCACTTAATTCTCATCACAACCCTTATGGAGATAGGCATTGTTATTACCATGTTTATACAAAGAGACTAAAACACAAGGAGGCTAAGTTACAGACTTAATCTAGTAAGTGGCAGACTTAAGATTGAACCCAGATACTTTTTTTTGTAGTCATGTGTTAGCCACTTTAATATAAAACGTGATGAAAACTCAATTACAAGAGTTGAAAAGGGCATAGAAAAACCAATGAGTGTCCACTTTATTACAAGTTTTAAAATCTGAGACTCAAAAAAAAAAAAAAAAAAAACTTACGTTTTAATTTCAGCTGAGGGTTAATTTTTTTTCACAAACTAAAAATTACTGTATGGGAAGATCAGTGTAGCAAACAGTACAGTTTACGAACCTAAGCCACAAACTTATTGTTAGTAATCATGGTAAGAAACATAGCCAAAGACCAGCTGATGCCTCAGTTAAGTTTGAAACAAGCTCTGCCTTCTGTGAAGGCGGGGAAGAAATATGCAGGCGATTCTCTTTCAAGAAATTTGCATAGAGGCCAGATGTGGTGGCTCTTGCCTGTAATCCCAGCACTTTGGGAGGCTGAAGTGAGTGGATCACCTGAGGTTGGGAGTTCGCGACCAGCCTGACCAACATAGAGAAACCCTGTCCCTACTAAAAATACAAAAAATTAGCCAGGCATGGTGGTGCACCTATAATCCCAGCTATTTGGGAGGCTGAGGCAGGAGACTCCCTTGAACCTGGGAGGCAGAGGTTACAGTGAGCCGAGGTTGTGCCGTTGCACTCCAGCTTGGGCAACAAGAACAAAACTCCATCGCAAAAAAAAGAAAAGAATTTCATAGAAATAGAAAATGTTAGAGCCTTTACCACAAGTGAAATTGCAAAGCCTGAACATATTCAACTCAATCCAGAGAGCACCAGACATTAAATTGGGACCAAGGTAGAATTGAACGTTTAATTTCCAGCCCTGCGGCTTGGAGAGCACTGTCATTTCAGACGCGAAAGCCAGCTGCAGGTGAGCTCTTTTAGAAACACGAACTTTATACTCCATACATTCTGAAGCAAGGCGGATATTTCTACATTGTTTGAATTTCAGAAGGGTACCTCCAGGCATCAGGGTCTCTTTCAGAGTCACTCTTGAAATAGTTACATCTTCCCAGCCTTGGGAACCACCTTTTTGCAGTTCTCTAGCATTTGCATGCACTGAAGCACACCACTTTGTGGAATGACTTTTAACATTAAATCCATCATGGCTTAAGTTCATGAAGCAGCTATTTCCAGGGCACCTCCCATCTCCTCGGCATGAGCAGTTTCCCAGTTACTGCTTCATCCCCCCAACCCCTCTTCATGAGAGTCTCCAGAGCTCATAGCATCAAGGTCTCCATTGCTGGGACTCAAACCAGAGACTACATCTGGAAGCTCCACTTCTCCAGCTCTCTCTGCTGGAGACCAAAGTGACAGTTTGTTGCAAAGACTTGTAAAAACAGAGATTATTTACAAATGCATTTTTGTATACATTTGTTTAATTTAGAACCTGGGGCTTTTGTAATCATTTTCCAAACCCTTTTATGAAGGGTGGAACACTTACATGAGGCTACATTGGTAACCATGCCCCATATCTCTTCTCATAACTGACTTGTGTAAGAAAAACAATGAAGATTTTTTAAAGTTGACTCCTACCTGGTTCTAATCAGTCTTGGAGGAATTTCTACTCATTTAATAAAATACGGAGTTGAGTAGAATATATTAAAGAATTTCACCAATAAAACAAATACCTAAAGCATCATTTTGGAAGGCAGTGAATAGGAATCCCAAAATCACATCTTGTGAACAAAACTGATAATCTGATAATGATACCTCATCTCTACAAAAAATAAACAAAATTAGCCAGGTGAGCTGGTGCATGCCCAGAGTCCCAGCTACTCAGGAGGCTGAGGTGCAAGAATTGCTTGAGCCTGGGAGATTGAGGCGGCAGTGAGCCTAGATTGTGTCACTACTTCAGCCTGGGTGACAGAATGAGACCCTGTCTCAAAAACAAACAAATAAAAGAAACTGATAATCTGTTAATAACCCTTTTCAGCTCATGATAACCGGTTTATATCTTCATAATTTTAAGAACTACCATAGAATATGGATCTAGAAATTGAAATAAGAATGTAGCAAATGAGTATGTGAAAATAATTTCACACAGATGGAAATTATACAGCTCGGAACTTGATGATGAATCATACTCTTGGAAAACTATTCCATTCTTCCCCAGAGTCTGTCAACAGAGGGATATACAAAGTGATGTAGTTTTCATATTTCAGCTTTAACATCTGCTGCATGGCAGCCCATTTATATTTTTATCTAAGGAAACATCTATAAATATTGATAAAGATTTCCTTTTTGCTTTTGTTTCCAGGCTGTTTATCTTGGTATTTATCCTTTTGGCTATACAGTATCTCTAGATGATCTGGAACTCAGCATTTTCCTAATACGGCTTGTTAGAATTCCAAAAACAATGCCTGCGGTTCCGCTACTAGGTCACTGTGGTGTGTTCCTCAAAGCCAGAGTCTGTTGACACTGCTGAGATTGGCTGTTTTCTTCTTTCTTGCTTTCCCTCTTATCCATGCACTACTAGTTTTTAAAAGCATTGAATACCAAGATTTTAAATGAGATATTATTTTACACATTTATTTCAGTCATGTCTTCTTTTTTTTTTTTTTAATGAAACCTGGGGGAGAGTGAAGAGAAGGTTCACAAAAAGTTTGAGTTGTGGCTTAGTGTTGATTTAAAAAACCCATAGAGAAGACAATAAACATAAGTTGGCAACAGATATCAACATAACTGGATTGAGATTTCAGTAAAGCGCATTATTAAATTATGACATTTTACCTACTTGCATGCATAGCTCATTATCAGACTAAATATTTTAATTCATGTAAGAAAAGATTGGGAAATTAAAAACTAAAAGGAAAAAAGCAGACTTAGATATTTGGACAAATAAAACAGATAACTCTATGTACTCATAGCAACAGATTGTTTTATTATTTGTTTGTGTAATAGGCATCATCTGTTATTTAGAGTCTTGGAATAATAGAATCATTTGGGAGGGACTGTAGAATACATTACTGGAATTCAGTTGGCAGTGTTCACATATTGGTCTGTTTGCTGGTTTAGAATCCTTTCTTTGTTGCTTTTCATCAGGTGGGACTCTTTCCTGGACACTGTGTTGAGTTAATTAACCAAAAAGTTCCCCAGTCAGTGACCAACTCAGTGCCAAAACCAGGTGAGTACATTTTTTTCACTAGTGTAGTTATTTTATAAACTGCTTGAAGACACAGATTTTCTGTCAGTCAAGTATTTAGCTTGTTTTGCTATTTTTGCATTTATTGACATAATACTACATTCTTAATTTTATATGATTTTGATTTTTAAATGTATTCTTATTTCTCTGTTGATTATTTTGAAAAGGTTTACATGCATTCAAATTTTTAGGCAATTTTAAAGAGCTGCGTGCTCCATTAAGCTTTGTCATTATTGACTTTTATAGTTGCATAATAGCAGTGTAACTTATTAATGAATAAAATGATAAAAAATAGGTTTAAAGAACTAACATGGAAATTGTAGAATTAACTGGAAATTGATAAATGAAAAGTAAGTATATTTTAAAAGGGCATATGAACATCAAAACTATTTTAAACAGCATTTCTTATTACTTATATAGTATACTTACAATGCTACATAAATATGTAGAATATATTACAAATAAAGCATTATTGAAGGGGATAAAAATCAAGAAAATGGGAATTTTGGTATTTATTGAGGTGATTTAGTTTTGGGAAGATTCAACAGAATGCCTCGTCTGGAACTTTTTGATGATGTCAATTAAAAAAAAATACAAACAAAGTCTAAAACATTTTGAAGAGAAGAGGGAGTCATTCAACTTATTTTTCCTAGCTATATTACGTTTCTTCTGTCCTTTCCCACCTCCCAGTAAAAGGAGAAGAAAAAATTTCTGGGCCTCAGAATTTATTTGAACTGTTTTCCTTATAGTAGTATTTTCTAGTTTTAGGACCTGTATGTAAGAGTTAAGGAAAAAAAAAAAAAGTTATTCTTTGCTCTTTTGGTATTTTCTCACTTGTGCTCCCAAAGCTTACATCAAACAATCTTTGCTAATAGTATTTAAGTAAAGGGTAATAATACCTTTCAAAGCTTATTTCTTCATAGGAGACTAGGGAGTCATTGTTCCCATTTCTCTCACTGGAATTTGTTTATTTTAGACTGACTTTATTGCTCAGTAGAGGAAATGCTTCAAAACAGTGTTTTCTGCAATTCTGCTTGAGTCAGGATTCTCAGTTCTTTTCAAAGCAATTTTATCCGTCTTGGGTAAACTTTTTTAAAAAACTCCTAAGTGGGTACTTGTTCGGTAAATCTTCGTTAGTAACTGTAGATTTCATTCTTTTTAAAAATATGGCATTATTTTAAACTTAACTTTTTGAAAACTCAGCTTTATTGAGATAAAATTCACATATCGTGCAATTTACCCTTTAAATTGTGTAACAGAGTTGTACAGCCATCACCACAGTTAATTTTAGAGCACCTTCATCACTTCATAAAGAAATCCCTTATCCATTAATAGACACTGCTCCCTGCATACTACTCCCAGCCCTAAACGACCACTTGTCTACTTTCTGTCTTTATTGATTTCCCTATTTTGGACATTTTGTATAAATGGAATAATATAGAATGTGGTCTTTCGTGATGGGCTTCTTTTACTTAGCATAGTGTTTTCAAGATACACCTGTGCAGTAGCGTGTATCAGTACTTCTGTTTTAATTCCTTCTTTTCTAATGGCTGGATAACATTTCATTATATGCATACACCACATTGTATTTGTTAATTCATTTGGAGTTGTTTCCATTTTTGGCTACTTTGAATATTCATGTACAGTATTGTATGTGGATGTGTTTTGATTTCTCTTGGGTATATGTCCAGGTGTGGAATTGCTGGGTCATATGGTAACTATGTTTAACCTTTGAAGAACTGTCAGCTGCACCATTGGTGTAGCTGTACCATTTTACAGTTCCACCAGCAGTGTATGAGACTTCCAGTTGTTCCATATCCTTGTCAACACTTGTTTTTATTTGGATTTTTTGGATTATTGCCTTCTTAGTTGTGAAGTAGTATCTCACTGTGGATTTGACTTGCATTTTGCTTTTGGCTAATAATGTTTAGCCATTTTATATGTCCTTATTGGCTATGTGTTCATCTTCTTTGGAGGGTATCTATTCATATCCTTGCTTATTTTTTTTTCTTCTACCTTTTTCTTTCTTTCTTTTTTTTTTTTTTTTCGAGACAGGGTCTTTCTCTGTCACCACAGACTGCAGTGCAACGTTGTGATCGTAGCTCACTGCAGCCCTCAACTCCCGACCTCAAATGATCCTTCTGACTCAGCCTCCCGAATGACTGACATTACAGGTGCACACCATTGTGCCCAGCTTATTTCTAAATTTTTTGTAGAGACAAGGTCTTGCTTTGTTGCCCAGATTGGTCTCAAACTCCTGGTTTCAAGTGATCCTCCCACCTCAACCTCCCGCTTTTGCCCAGTTTTTAATTGGGTTATTTGTGTTCTTGTTACCGAGTTGTAAATGTTGCTCATATATTCTAGATACAAATTATTTACCAGATAATAGTGATTTGCAAATATTTTCACCTGTTTTGTGGTTCATCTTTCACTTTCTTTGATAGTATCCATTGATGCATACTTTTGATGTTTCTTTTGTCATTTATGCTTTTGATTCCTAATTTAAGAAGGCTTTGGCTAATCCACAGTCATGATTTACTCCTATGTTTTCTTCTGAGAGGTTTATAGTTTTAGATGTTACATATTAGTTTATGACCCATTTTTTAAAGTTAATTTCTGTGTATAGTGATGAGGCAGGGGTCCAACTTCATGAGGTTATCCAATTGTTCTAGCACTGTTTGTTGAAAAGATTATTTCTTTCCTGTTGAATTATCTTGATACCCTTGGAAAAATAAATTGACCCTAGACACAATTGACCCTAGGTTTATTCCTGGACTTCCAGTTCTTTTCCAATGATCTATATGCCTTTTTTTGTTTGTTTTTTTTGAGGCAGAGTCTCACTCTGTCACCCAGGTTGGAGTGCAGTGGTGCCATCTCAGCTCACTGCAACCTCTGCCTCCTGTGTTCAATCAATTCTCCTGCCTCAGTCTCCCGAGTAGCTGGGATTACAAGTGTGTGCCACCACACCCAGATAATTTTTATATTTTTGGTAGAGACAGGGTTTCATTATGTTGGCCAGGCTGATCTTGAACTCCTGACCTCGTGATCTGCCCACCTCAGCCTCCCAAAGTGCTGGGATTACAGGCATGAACCACCACGCCCAGCCTCTATATGTCTCTTCTTATGCCAGTACTACCCTGTTTTGATTACTGTTGTTTTGTAGTAAGTTTTGCAGTGGGGAGTATAAGTCTTCCTACTTTTTTCTTCTTTTTAAGGGTTGATTTGGTTTTTCTGAGCCCCTTGCAATTCCATATGGGTTTAGAATCAGCTTATCAATTTCTACAGAGTAGGATGGGATTCTGATAGAGAATATATTGAACCTGTAGATCAACTTGGGATATTATTAACAATATTAAGTCTTCTAATCCCTGAACATAGGATGTTTTTCTATTTATTTAGATATTCTTTTGTATTTTTAATTTTTTTCTTTAGAGACAGTGTCTTGCTTTGTTGCCCAGGCTGGAGTGCCATGGTGTGGTCAGAGTTCACAGCCCCCCAAACTCCTGGGCTCAATGCATCTCTCCACCCCAGCCTCCTTAGTAGCTAGGACTACAGGCATATGCCACTGTGCCAGGCTAATTTTTTAGTTTTTTGTAGCAATGTCTCACTATGTTGCGTAGGCTGGTCCTGAACTCCTGGCCTTAAGTGATCCTCCTGCATGAGCCTCCAAAAGTGCTGAGATTATAGGCATGAGCCACTAGGCCCAGTCAGTTTAGACATTCTTTAATTTGTTTCAATATTTTGTAGTTTTCAGAGTATAAGTTTTATATATCTTTTGTTGAGTTTCTTTATAAATATGTTCAATTCTTTTTAATGCTATGGTACTGGGAATTTTAACATTTCATTTTCTTATTGTTCATGGGAAGTCCATAGGAATATAATTTTTGTATGTGGATGTTATATTTTGAAGCCTTGTTGAACTGTTTATTAGTTCTAACAGTTTCGTAGTGGATTCCTTGGGATTATCTGTATACAAGATTATGGCATCTGCAGTAGGAACTTTTTACTTCTTCCCTTCCAATCTGGATGTCTTTTTATTATTCTTGCCCAGTGGTCCTTGTGAGAACCTCCAATACAATATTAAATATAAATCTCAAGTGCAAGCATCCGTGTCTTGTTCCTGATCTTAGGGGAGTGCATCTAGTCTTTTACCATTAAGTAGGATATTAGCTGTGGGGGTTTCATAGATGTCCTTTATCAGGGTTGAGAAAGTTCCCTTCTGTTTCTCGTGTGCTAAGTGTTTATAAATAGGGTGTAGGAATTTTTCCGAAGGCTTTGATTCATCTATTGAGATTATCATGGGTTTTTATGGTCATTATTTTGAAGTTACTAAATTCAGCATCAAACATTTAATTTCCTGCACATTATTTTTATCCATCTTTCTGTGGTGTAAGCTTAACTTATATTAGTTGTTATGTCTCCTGTAGATGTTACTTCTCAATACCGAGAAGAAAACCTCGTATACCTTCCAAAAGGCTAATTTGAGTCTTGGACATTGCAGGTCCAATACCATAATTTATATAATAAATTTCCTTTTTGCACGGAGTCCTTGTCTGGCACCCAAGCCGGAGTGCGATGGCGGAATTGCTCCACCGTACCTCCGCCACTCCAGGCCAAGCATCCGCTGTCCTCGAGTCAAGCTGGCAATACAGCGCATGCCGACCCTGCCATTTTGTATTTTAAAGGAAGTTTCACATTAGACCCAGCTGCTCGAATCTGCTCCCCGCGTGAATCCGCCACCTGCTACTCCAAACATTCGCCATGCAGCATGAGTGCCCAGCTAAAAGTGCATTCTTAATACATTTGAAAAGATAATGTGAATCCCGCTCCCAGCCCTTGGGACCTTGCTTCACACTTTAAAACTGCCTTTGCCTAATGGCATAAACAACTTGAAGTTCAATTTATAACATTGCCATCTGTCAACGTAGATGCCAAAATTGAAAGACAGCCATAGTATGAGACCTGAAATTTGAAGTTCCCTA